GTTTTTAACAGAAAATTTAGTCCGCGCTGATGTGGCATCTGACGTAATTTTTTAATCTGAATTTATATAAAATAATATTTATAAAAAAAACTATAAAAAAAAACTCTATATCTCCGTTCGCTCCTCTTCCCCTCCAAGATTGAATCGTTGCCTGGAAGAGATGAGCAATCGTCGACCCTCGGCTCCAGAACAGACGAGCATAGGAACTGGACCAGAACACTGATCTTGTTCTTCTTCCTATAGGCTAAAATCGCTTCTGCAACATCAGAGAGATCTTCGGAGATGCCTCTCCATCCGGTCTCCGCGGGAGCAGAAAGCGACGGAGAGGATCGGAGGAGGTGGTTGATGATGAGCTGAAGATGGTGCGCGTATCTGGTGAATTGGCGAGATCGAAGGACTCCTGGTCGTGGCCGCTGGAGCAGAGTTCGGACATTGAACGGTGGATCTCGATTACAGATCTCAGAGAAGTCAAATCCCTAGAACCAAACCCCCCAAAATAGGAACACAGCAGATTGTGATGCCTGCAATTGAACCGGCAGACAACGAATACGAATGGCAATATGAAAACACCGATTTTGTCAAAGAGTTGCAGGTGGAGGATGATGAGTTGCCGCCGTCGACGGCGACGTGCGGGGAGAAGTGGAAGCATAGGGCCACCGTCGATCCTGGCCGCCACCACCTCCTAACCCTCCGTTATGCTTCCCGAACCCAGAAACACGACGAGTTTCGTCCAAATCCCAGCCAGTGTGGGCTCTGTACAGAGGGATATCCTCTTCAATTTTGCAAATCACAGAGGGAGCAGAGGAAGGCAAACCATCATCGAAGAACTCCACCTGGGGATTTGATCTGGTGCAAATGGAAAGGATATGCTCAGAATCCCCCAGATTTTCTCCATCTCCAGCCGCAACGAATCCCTCGCCTTCCTCGCTCCGTCCAGCTGATGCGATCTCGTCTCTGTGCTCCGCGACCTCGTTCAGTTTCGCCGCAACGAATATCTTGCACCAAGAAGAAGAATACGAAGAGTTTTTTTTATTTTGTTTTAAAATTTTGGCTTAATAATATTATTGAATTTACATTTTTTAATTTTAATTTAATTTTAACTAAGAATATGAGGTGTCAATGACGTGGCATCTATGTGGCAACCACATTTTTGCCACGTCAACAAAAGTCAACTTCTCTTTGACCACCGTTTGGTCAACCGTTATCTTTAACGGTCAACAAAATCGGCAGGACACAAATGGCGCAAAGTATAATAGTTCAGGACACAGATGGAATATTGGAAACAATAGGACACAAGTGACATTTTCGAGATAGTTCGGGTGTTGTAGTGGTATTAGCCCTTAAAAGTATTATATAACAAAATTTAGATAGTGTATTATGTAATAAAGTTTAGTATTACTATCTACATTCTTATATAAATTAACCAATAATCTCGGTATTAATTTACTAAAATGAAATTATAAGCTACCCATAAATGTATTTTGTACCAAATGTTGATTTTATTTATGACGATTGGCTCCACCCACATCAGAAAAGTCTAAAGGGTATTTTTGGAATTGAAAATTTCCTATTCTTAACGAATTAATTTCCATCATATATAATGTTATCACCGACAAATTGTTTTTACCGACGACACATCCTCATCAAAAATAATCATAGGGTATTTTCGGAATTGAAAATTCGATCCCATTTGCAAAGTTTTTTCTACGTATCACTGTCGTAAAAAATGTAAAAGGGTATTTTAGGAACAAAATTATCTATTTCTGACGACATTTCTACGTCATAAAAAAAATTCGTCCTCACAAATAAACTTCGTCATCTTTTGAGCATCAAGTATAATTTATTTCTGACAACATATTTTGATTAGCGACAAACAACTTTTTGTGATGAGACTTTTTTCCATGATGACCAACGACTGTATATCGTCGTAACTAGTCATTTCCAATGAAAAAAGATCTTTTCCAACGCCAAATGTCTGATCATAACTGACTGTCTTTTTTGTATTGTAACTTAGACAACATTGACTCATGGTTCAGAGAATGTATCCTCCATGCGGTTTGGTGGGGCATATGACTTGAGAGGAATCAACGCACGTTTGAAGACAAATGCTTCCCTGCTGATGTGGTTGCTGGGAGAGGGCGTTTGGCCTCGTTGCGCATGGGAAAGTTCAAGCTAATCAAGGTGTAAGATGGCTAGGAGAAACTTTGGTCGGATCGTGAGCGTGGAGGTGCTTCTTCGAGGGGCGTTTGGCCTCGTTGCGCATGGGAAAGTTCAAGCTAATCAAGGTGTAAGATGGCTAGGAGAAACTTTGGTCGGATCGTGAGCGTGGAGGTGCTTCTTCGAGGGGCGTTTGGCCTCGTTGGGAGCTTGTTCAAGTCATGATTGTCGTTACAGCTTCCTCCTTGCTGTGGAGTTTGTGTGGTCTCGCTTGTTGTTGCCTGCTGGTAGCTTCTCCTTGTTTCTATTGGGAGCTGGCTTTCCAGGGGATTGCTTTTTGTTTTATCCAATTGGTGCCTGTTTGGTCTGTTGTGGTGTCGCGCTGTTGTCGGCGGTTTTCGGTTTTCTGTGGGTTTAGAGCAGGTGTCTCTCGGTTGGCCTAGCTCTTTCTCTCGTTTGTGTCTTCTTTCTTTCTATTTCCTTTCCTTCTGCTTTTGTGTCGTTCTGCAGGGTGCACTCCTTGTGCAACTGCCTTTTCGGCTGTGTATTTTGGAACCCTTTAGTTGCGCTTCGTTGGCTTTTGGTAATAAATCTTCACCATTATAAAAAAAAAATTGGGCTAGGTCTAAGAGGTGAAATAAGATTTTTGGTGTTTTTTATATTTTTAATGATATAAATATTCTTTGTTTTAATTTAAGTTTTGAAAATAATGTCCAAGATTGAATGCGTTAATTGTAATTTATAAAAATATTGTATTTTTATATGTCTCGTGAAAAAATATTGTACCATTATGTATCACCTCGGATCACTTTGTTCCATAACAACAAAATGAGTTATGAAATGGAACCCTAGAACCCTTGAGTTTTCTCATTCATCCTTTTGGTTTAAATAGGCCAAGGTATGCACTACAAGACAATATGTGCAAGCTTGCATTTGGAGACATAACATAGATAAAACGTTAACTCAAACTAAAGCCTGAGACTTACATTGACAATAAACTAAACTTGATGATGATGATGATTTCCTCTAAACTTTGTCGATCCAGTTTGACATTCGTGGTCGTCGGTTTGAGTCTAGACGATAACTTGTAATATCTCCTAATTTCCACCTTTGTTTTTTAATTTAAAAATAGAATTTTTTTATAAAAAATAAAAAGGTTCATTATGATCTATATAATAAGATATATTTTTCAAAATAATGTGGTGAAAAGTGGTAATTTGTGTCATACTATTATGTATACAACTATTCTACATTATGATAAATTTATACAATCATTATAGTCTTATGGACCACCAAGCATTATCACCAAGGTATTGTCAACAATCAGTTAGTTATAGTAACTCAAGTTGTTGAGAGAGATTAGTCTCATATACTAACACCCCCCACCCCCAAATGAAGTCACTCGCATGGGTTTTAAGTTTTCACAGATCCGAACATCAAATGCTTAACAAATGGGAGTTGTGGGGTCTCCAACAAAATACCCTGATACCATGTCAAGAATCAGTTAGTCTCAATAATTCAAGTTGTTGAGAGTTATTCAATAATATATCTTATGTCACATCCTAACAAGTATAAAGTGGTAATATTTTCTTCAAAAAAAATTTCAAAAAATTTCTATAAAAATATTTTAATTCCGATGTAAAACAAAATATAGCCTCGCGAAAAAGTTATACATGATATATAATCAATAATCCATGGCAACTCGTAGCTAATCTTTTTAGATAGTTTATTCTTTACTAATAATGTTTTAAGAACCGAATCGAATGTTAAACCAAAAAAAATTAGTGATTTAGGAGTGAAATTATCATTAACTATAAAAAAATTCAAATCCATATAATTTATTATAGCCAAAAATTTAAAATAAAGTATTCAAATTATTTCAAAAAAGCAAATAATTTTTTTATTTTTTAAATTCCAGTCAGTAATCGGGGTGACAATTATAGCGCACTACATAAAACTCTCAATGAGTCTGAAAAGTGAAGAAAATGAAGTATAAATAAGATTAGTGATTGATGTTGCATGATCTTAGTTTACGTTAAAGTTTTTTTTTTTAATTTTTTGTGGTTAAATTTGTGAACTAGTGGACCAATCAAATAATGATTGGTCATTTAGTTTCATGTCAAACTTTTGAGTCAATTCCAACCATCTAGTCAAATAAATCGAACTGCTATTTTAATTGGTTTAGTGATCGCACCGGGCAATCATTGATCTACTTTGGTTATCATAACAATACGTAATATATATATATATATATATATATATATATATAAATAAAGTAATTTCAAAGGTGGGAAAGAAAATATTATTGGACTTATATGGGACAGCGAAAGCGACCAAATAAATGACTTTATAGCTTTATTTGATCAGAACAAAATGTAAAACACAAATAAAAGAAAATCCTAGTGAGACAAAAAAGCCAAAAGCTCTAGTCAAAGTTATAGTTAAAATATAACATTACAATATATCCGTTTGTCATAATGCGTTTAAAAAAATCATGCATTCAAATTGGGCTTATGCCATAATTTTAGTTTGTATATATATATACTTTTTTGTACAAATTTTTTTATAATATAAAATTAATTTTTTGTATTTAATGTTTTATACAAATTCAATTTGTACCTTTACTTTTTTTTATAAATTTTTTATGAAATAAATTGAACTTATAACCGTAAAATTTCCCCCATTGTATAAATTTGATGCAAGAGAGCAAATATATAAAAATATAAAAGATGTGTATGGTGATAAATGTTGCCGAGTATGTGCATGGTGTCGAATTACAATAATAACCAAATATGCTTTTGCTATTTATACAATATAGGAATTGAATTCCTTTCATCTATACACTATTCGATCCTCTCCTCTCATCATCACCCGTACCCGCTCGCTTACTGAATCACATAGCTAAGCAAGCTAGCTAATGGGTTCAGAAACCGCCGCTGCCGCTGCCGCCACCGTCAAGATTCCGCTCATAGATTTCTCCAAAACTGCGCCGCTGAAACAAGACAGCCTTGAATGGGACTCCCTGAGATCCCAAGTTGGCGAAGCAGTCGAAGAATATGGATGCTTCGAGGCATCGTTCGACGAGATTCCAGCTGACAGCCTGAGCGCGGTGTTTAAGTCGGTGAAAGAGCTGTTCGACCTGCCTCTGGAGACCAAACTAAAGAACACCTCCAAGAAACCGTTGCACGGTTATGTCGGGCAGTACCCTATCCTTCCGCTCTACGAAAGCATGGGGATCGAAGATGCCGATGTTCTTGAAAAGGTTGAAGGCTCTACCAAGTCACTTTGGTCCCATGGAAACCCAGCTTTCAGGTATCTACTGCTGAGGAATTTTACAATGCTATATAACATTCGTGGTGATATAGGTTTTTGCCTTTATGATACAGCTTGAAGTTGTACTTTTAACGTTATGGTACAACTTCAGATTGTACATGTACTTTTTTATACAATTTCTTTTATGATACAACTTCAACTTGTATCTTAATGTGATTGTACAGCTTTAAAACTTAAAGTTATACCATCACATAAGGGTACAAATTCCTTTATGGTACAACATGAACTTATACATTTAATATTACAGTACAACTTCAAATTGTACATTAAAACACCAATGCGTTATAACATAGGAGAAGTGCTCATTTACTGTTACCAAATAAGACACACTAACAAATATAAGTATTATATATAATATAGGTAATGACTGATATACTCCAGGAGCATACCATACTCCATTTGATATGACCGTAATTAGATCTTCTTTTCTGAGCTTCGACAATCTCAACGGTCAATTAATATTTTCTATTAAATTGAATTGGGTATGAGTTTAGAGAATCGGGACTAGGGGTTTACCCATTAGAGATTAGGGTATAATTACATACCCAAATCTTGATTTAATTTAAAGTCTAAATAGAGATATCTCATGGTAGTACACCAGTCTGACCCAATATAATATATAATAATTTCTACCATTGGGATTTTGCAGCGAGAGCATCGTGTTCTACACAAAACAGCTTTCGGTACTTGATCAAATGGTAAGGAGAATGATCGTGGAGAGCTTTGGGCTTGAAGAATACGTGGATGAACACCTCAACTCCACAATTTACCTGCTGAGGATGATGAAATACAAAGCGGCTCAGACATGTGACGAAGAACAAGGAATGCATCCCCACACTGACAAGGACATGATCACCATATTGTGCCAAAATGGGGTCGACGGACTGGAAGTGAAAAACAAAACTGACGGGCAGTGGATTAAGTGCCAATTCTCTCGCCCCACCTCCTTCATCGTTCTAGTTGGTGATTCTCTCTATGTAAGTTCCTCGATTTCCTTTATGCTTGATCAGGTAACATTTTGTACGTAAACTACGACACTGAGAGCTAAGCTACGTTGTGTTTATGCAGGCGTGGCTGAATGGACGAGTTCATTCTCCGGTTCATCGAGTCACGATGTCGAGGAGTGAGACGAGATACTCCCTGGGTTTATTCGTGGTCCCAAAAGCTGGCTACGTAGTCAAAGCTCCCGATGAAATGGTTGACGAACAGCATCCACTGCTGTTCAGGCCTTATGATTTTGTGGAGTTTTTTAAGTTCTACGACACTGAGGCTGGCCAGAAATCAGCAAATGCCTTGCGTGAATACTGTGGGGCTTGAAATGTTGTTCACGATCGATGAATGAAATGTGGGCATCATATATATCATAGTGTGTGTTTCATATGCAAAAGTGCTGTAATAAGTTATGTACTAAATGTCAGCTATGTACTGCATTAGGTTGTTGAGATTTGGGTCAATCTTTTGATCACTTGCCAGTTTGTATTGTCGCTCTTTCAAGAAGACCAAAATGTTCAATAAAGGAGGCAAGGAATAATTCGCTCCATTTGGCTGCCTTTTGAAGCCAAGTCAAGCTTCTTCTTGATCTCTGTGTCAATTTTCTCTTTCTCGCAATGTACATTCATGTAAGCCATCAGTCAAACCTTTTAGGTACTTGCTTGAAATTAAGTTAAGGACTTGGCTCTTGTCGAATAGGTATTAAAAGAGCTGTCCATACAGTGGTAAGAAAGCTCTCTTAACGTTGGTCGACTAGCATCTCTTTCTTTTTCGTTTCCGCCTGAAAAGACTATATTTTTTACTCTATATCTGTTGTTTTCCTTTTTAAGAAATATTTATGACAAAAAAAAAAAAATCGTTACAGTATTTGCTCAAAAAATATATGAAAACGATGCATGTCATCTTGTACATCTAAATTATTATAAGCTTTTTTGGGTAAAAAAAATTATGATAAAACTTCATATTCTCTCATTATTGTCATTCATACCCACGCCATTTTATTATGCTAGACCCAATAATAACATCTCACTATCAGCATATATCATAATCTTAGTTACCACTATGGTTATGGTAAGACTATACATTACCATCAAATTAATGTCATATCATGATATGACAGTGGTAAAATGACGTAAGAAAAATTTTAATACAAAAATATCAAAGTTGATATTATAGTGTAGAGCACAAAACTACACACAAATTTGTAATCTAATATAATACGAATGAAGATGTGATATGTTAAGAATCTTAGGATATTCAACAAGTGCATTAATTGTAGTCTAGAAATCCGCACCAACCATAAAAAAGCAGGTATGTGGTACCCATAAAAATCCTGATTTTCATTGTTACCTCTCCTTTTCAAAATTAATGGTTAGAGATTGGATTATGAAGTACTAAAAACTTTGGATCTTGCATTAGAAATATCCTATGTTAAGTAATCTTAGGCTAGGCATAACTTGGACGCTAAAATTTAGGGGTTTTAAGGATAAAATTAGACGTTGGATCCTAGCAATAATGTGGTTGCAAGACGTCGTCATGGAAACTTTGTTGGTCCGTGGTGCGGAGTTGTGATCAACGTCTCGGGTTTATGAGAACAACGAAGGTAGTTTTATCGCACGTGAGACTCACCCGAAGAAGAGTGGAAATGAGAACATAACGGTTGAAGCATTACGACTACCATGAGCGTGGTGGAGAACATGGGAGAGAGTAACGAGCGGTTTCACGTGAAAAATGCAATTGAGTTTCTAATAACTATATGTGATCTTGTATACGGGGGACCAAACAAATCAAATAGAGAGATTTCTCAATTACTTTTTTCTCTATAACTTCTAGTTACGAAGCTCTCCTTCCTAGAAGAATTTCTCATAATTCGTAGTCTTGGTTATAGTCACGGAGCTCTCTAGAGAAATCTGTATAGGAGTAGGCCTAATTTATAGTGGATTCTCAAAAACTCAAACACCCTCATTCAAACAATGTTTGAAATGTGAACAAAGAAACAGTCGTCTTAAAGACTAAAGAGGGGACAACCAAAAAAATCAAACAGATGCATCTTTCTCAATTACATTTTTCTCTATAACTTCTAGTTACGAAACTCTCCTTCCCAGAAGAATTTATCATAGTTTATAGTCGTAGTTGTAGTCACAGAGCTCTCTAGAGGAATCTCTATAGGAGTAAGCGTAATTTACAGTGGATTCTTAAAAACTCAAACACTCTCGTTCAAACAATGTTTGAAGTATAAACAGAGAAACAATCGTCTTGATTCCAAATGTAAAAAGTGCATCGATCCAATCAACATAGCAAAATTTCCATCGGGAAACAATCTGCTCTTGTTGCCTAGAGCAACACTGCAACGAACTCAGGAGACAGGGTAAAGTGTTTTTCCAGAAAAGTTGCGGACCCCTTTGCGTGCAGTATGGCTTACTAAGTTTTGTACTAACAGTTTCACTGTGGCGGAAGGGGATTTAGACTGAGTTATGGTTTTTTCTTTCTTTTATTTCCTATGTAAACTTCTTTATCCTTATTAATAAATTATTTCACACTTATAAAAAAATTCATTGGGAAACAATAAAATATATTAACCACAAAAAGTTTGTGAAAGATAACAAACAGTATATTTTTTGAGGAAATTAGAGTTAAAAGTGGCATATATGTATAGATGGAATAAGAAAAATAAAATGAAGGTGTTTAGAGTTTTATTAATTTTAAGGGTATGACTATGGTGACATGTATGTCATCGTAACTTGCACTTTTAGGTCGACTTTATATAGGATTAGGTCGACCTAATATGTCGTTCAGTTTTGTGAGGTTCCCGAATACACTAATGTGGGCACCCTGATGACTTATCATCGTCGACCTTTAAATGTAGTAGTCGACCGTTTGTAGTTTAAGTTGTCATTGTTGGTCGACCACAATAAAACATCAGTCGCCCTTTTCATTGGCGTCAGAAGCAAAATGGTCGACTGTAAATGTATATAGGTCAACCACTTGATGGCGGTCATTAACAAAATGGTCGACTGTAAATGTATATAGGTCAACCACTTGATGGCGGTCATTAACAAAATGGTCGACCATTTACAGAAAGAGGTAAACCAGATAGAAGAGAAGTGTTGTATCCATTTATCCATCATCATTTGACGTAAAATGAAGATCAAGTGTTGGTTTCGTGGTCGACCTAATCTGGTACGAGGTCAACCGAATACAAGAAAATCAACCTATGCCTTGCGTCTTTTTTGCTTATGTATGTAGATGTGGGTGGTTCTCTTGCTTGTACAAATTACAATTCAAACCAACAGAATCAATCATAAATAATGATAACAAGGACTCATAACTTCCATGTGGTCGACCTCTTGAATCACGTACAGCAGCGACCGCAAATGATCTTCTTCACAAAAGCTCTAACCGTAAAAAAACCTAATTCAGAGTTTCGGTGGCGGTGAAGGTGACATATATTCGTATTTATAGATATTTAGGACGAGAATGGGTCAATTAAGTGGTAGATAAGTTAGGATTACCTTACTGGTGTTGGAATCATTATCCAATATGGATACGGTGTGCACGCAGTCGACTTCGTACTTATGCGGTCAACCTCAGTAAATTAAAATGGTTGGCCTATGAGGTATTTGGGTCGACCCGTCATTCTGTTCGCTTCCCAAAGAGGTCAACCATTTGCTATAAAAGGTCAACCGCATCGTTGAACCTCACAAAACTGAAACGACATATTAGGTCGACCTAAAACTGCAGATTAGATCGACCTAAAACTGCATATTAGGTCGACCTAATCCTATATAAGGTCAACCTAAAAGTGCAAGTTACGGTGACATGCATGTCACCGTAGCAAAATCCTAATTTTAAATTTTAGTGCATCATGAAATTGGGAATGTTCGGATTACGTATAATTATATAGAGGTGGTGTAAGAATTACAAACATAGTTTTTGCCTAGTTATTATGGGTATTTCTGGAAAAAAAAAATCCCTAAGCTCATCCCCGATCCATCCCACCATTTTCTTTGTGGTGTTGCCCACATATGTCCATAGAAGAGGGTCGGAGACCTACGTACAAATCAACCTACTTGGAACAAATATAACACTCAAATAGTATAAATAAAAAATTGATAGTCAAACAAAATAGAAGTCATAATCAAAGTTCTGATAGTCTTTTTTTTTTTTTTAACACGTTCTGATAGTCAATGTCCTCCAATTTGGTTTACCCTGACGCAGAAAGCAAATATTATTAAAATGTAGAAAATGTGTTCGGTGAAAAAATTGACAGTCAAACAAAAAAGAAGTCATAATCAAAGTTATGATAGTCAATCTAAATCTAATCTATCTAAACTACTTATAATACATTTTAAAGAGTTTGATTTGCTCCATTTCAAATTTCCTACAATGAGAGTGAAAGTAGGAAGGGTATTTTCGTCTACACAATCAATTTTTTATTGAATATAAAAATATATCAATGCTAGGATTCAAATCATGGTCTCTTCTATCAAAGACAAGAATTGTAACCAATTAAACTACACACATATGATGTACTTTATTAATACAAAACATAGAGGAAGTTAAAATTATGAAAAACAGAGTACTATTCTATCACGGTTAGTTAGCCCGCTAAGTCTCCTGTAAGTATTTTGTGGTGTTTGATTATTCTATTTTCATATTTTAATAATTAATTTAAAAAATTTCTAACTTATAAGTGAAGGATAATCTTAAAATCTCAACACAAATATCATTGGTTGGAATATTGCGCATTGAATTGAAGTGTTAGAAGTGTTCAATGACGACATAAGGGCATTGGTACCATACATTTCAAGAAAAATAAACATGACAAACACCGATACCAATTATCTCAACAGTCTATGCTAAAATTCAAATTTGTTTAATCATTCAATTTGAGTGATAGTTTAGTCAAAGCAACCAAATAATTCACGATTGTGTATGAACAAAAATAAAAACATATGTATTGTATTATGAAAAATGTATTTATTTTAACAATCTAAAAAACACAATCAAGACTTCCATATACAACCCCATATTTCACCATTCTAATTAATGAAACAATTTTTATCAACATGATGCAATGTTCAAGCTAAAGTCCAATTATTAATAATCAATATATAGTATTCAGCTTAGTAAACTATTTCAATATCCACAGTTAACTATTAATGATTACTTGCTTTCTGTTTGTGGGTTTAATCATTAATGTAACACTCTCATGCCTACACTTTAAGCATTTTTTTTCTTTTTTCCAATATTTTTTCCAGTTATTTGTTAAATCAACTATGTTTCTAGCTTTCCATTCCTAATTATGCATTGCTTCCTACCAACTTATGGGAATGATAAATATTTTTTTTCATGTATAATCTATTGACTATGAATGTTGCTTATTACTTAAATTCAACGGTATCCATGTTAGGTTTGATGTCTCCAACATATTCTCACAATTTCTCGAAAAAGCATCATATCTTGCGATTGATATCATAGTTTTGTTAGGTAAAGTTCAACAAACCCAATCAATATTCGAACTCTTTGAAGAGCTATCTACATGTGAATATGAAGTACTGAGTAGCTAAAACTCTACTTGAGTTAGTACGATCTTTTGCGTTATCAATTTAGTCATACTAATTCTGCAGTAGGGGACATATAATCAAAATCGTATCGAAAGACTCCTTGATTTATCAGTTTCATGATGTAATCAATTCTACCAAATAGAAGTGATCAAATTTATAAGATGCTCTCAAAGTTTGCTATAATTATTGAGGTTCAACAACACGTTAATCGTAAGGTGGTCATTGGGCATTTGTCTATCTCCTAGCTCACCTAGACACGCTTAGACGTTGTAATAAAAATAGTAATTTTTAATAATGATGAATGAAGTAACAGTTCTGAAGCACTTTCATACTTAAGTTCAAATGATTTAACAACAAGCCAAATAACTCTCAAGTTTATCATTTTTTTATACCAAATGGTATAATTAATTCATTTATGAGCTGAAATAGCTAATTATAAGCACTTAAATTTTTAAGTTAAAACTCATATGATACAATTGTTTGACGAAATGGTTTTTATCATAGAGTGGTTCTATCGAGAGAAGTCTCTAAGAAACATGCCTTACTTTATTATTCCTTAGGTAGATATACTATATATCTTCATCGTTACTTTTACATTGGATTCAATTTAGCATACTTTTTTGTTTAGATAGATTATTTCAATGATTTTTTTGGGATATAATATATCATTATTGTATGATGGTGTAGGATATTAGTTCCTCTCATTTTAGGTTCAAATTGGTGTATTCTCCTCTTTATCATTCCCTTTTATCAATTAATAATTTTTAGGATATTTTTTATTATGAAATATCGTGAGCAGAATCTATACACAACAATTTGTGTTTTTTTTTTTTTTTTTGCTTCCTCTTCTCTTGATTAGATATTGTGTCCATATTGATTCTTATATTTATTATTGAATTACTACTTTTTTGTTCTGAAGTTTATGAAACTAAGATGCATTTTTTTGAGAAACATGAAACTAAGATGCATATTGATAAAGAATGTAAGGTGTCATCTTCCCTGTTAAGGCTTAAGCACTACATATCATCGTTTACCTACTGTTAAATCAAACTCTTTCTAACTTGAGTACGAGCTACAATGACTTTTATTGTTGTCGATTTTTCCCAAAATATTAGGTATGTTGCTTTTAGTTTTCGCATTCTTTTCAGTTTTATTTAGATTTTTATGTGTTGCTCTATTAGTTGAACTTGCCAATTGGAGATCTGCATGCTTCGACTACATTAATGTCATAGTGACTTCTATATGAAATGCCACTCGAAACATGAGTGTGTGATTTATTTTGTTTCTTATTAAGGACACTCTAAAAATATACTTTGTTCCATTATATCATTAAATACACCAAAGTCAATGGAAAAGTCGAAACATTTTATCGTATACTGAAGATTGATTATGCATGTATGATGTAAAACAACTCTTACCATTGTTCTTCTTAGACGTTTTTATATAAATACGACTTCGTTTGAAAATATGTATTTATGTTAGTGTAGTTGGACGTTGTTCGTCATTTTTAAAACTTCGTTAGTCAAATACATCAAATACTTTCCTATATTATTAATGAAAAATTTACCAAACTAAATAGTTACTTTAAATCCCAACAACATGAACCATAACAAAATTATATACCTACACTTATACATAACAACATGAGAATCAAACTCTCCCGGCCAAGAGGCTGGGCCATAATCTAGTGTCCTCCAATTTGGTTTACCCTGAGTCCTGACGCAGAGAGCAAATATTATTAAAATGTAGAAAATGTGTTCGGTGATAGATAGCACTACATGTGAGGTCGGGACTAGCTAGTTATGCTGTGAGACAGTGCATATCCTTAATATAATTAATTAAAGTTATAAATGTGTTACTGTTGTATAAGAGGTTTGCTAAAGTATGTTGTGGGTTATTTTAGTTTGGGTCTCTCGAAGCTAACCTGGAAAGCATTCAAGAGGCAATTCAAACTGCCATCCCGGATGACGTCCGCCGAATTGAGGGATCGGTGGCTGAACTAGGAGGTTCCGTAGCTGAGCTCGGTGGCCGTCTCCAGGCCTTGGAAACTCACTCGGCTACCGCTCAAGCTAGCATTGATGAGATACTCCGAATTCTCCAACGTCGACCTCCTGTCACCGATGGTGACCGATCCTCTGCAGGGTCCAGCCTCCACTTCATACGGGGAGACAGGAGGGGAGAACGAGACGACGGGGAAAGGGACGACCGCCGGGATGATCACCGTTACGAGAGGGACGAAAGACGTACCGTCCATGGTCGTTATGAGCGCCGGGAAGAACATCCTCGACCTTTGTTCCCAGCGAGATACACGAAACTAGAGTTTCCGCGCTTCGCCGGGAATGACCCAACTGAATGGTTCACCCGCGTAGACCAATTCTTTGAGTACCAAAATGTTGACGAAGAGCAGAAGGTGCCACTGGCTTCTTACCACCTCGAGGGCGAAGCCAACCAGTGGTGGCGGTGGCTGCAGAAGTCCTACGCTCAGGAGGGAACGCATGTTACCTGGGAGTTGTTCTCCGGCGAACTATGGACCCGATTCGGCGCGGCTGATGAGGATGACGCCGACGAAGCGCTATCCCGTATCCGTCAAACGGGAACTCTCCGAGATTATCAACGGGAGTTCGAACGACTAGGGAACAAAGTCCATGGTTGGACACAAAAGGCACTGGTGGGAGCGTTCATGGGTGGTCTAAGAGCGGAGATCTCGGAGACCCTGCGCCTTTTCCGTCCAGAGTCGCTCAAGGAAGCCATACGTCTTGCTCGCATCCGCGATGAGCAGTTGCGAAGAACAAAACCATCTAACCGGCCGATAATCCGAACAACAGGGGATTCTACCAACAAAAGTCCCAAGGAACAGCCACAACGCGGTCGGAGTCAGATCTCCCGCCGGATTCCTTGGGAAGAGCAACAACGACGAAGGGCGGCAGGCCTTTGTTTCAATTGTGATGAAAAGTATGTACCCGGGCACCGCTGCAAACAGCCGGCACTACTCCTTTGTGAGGGGGCGGAGGAAGATGACGAGGAGTTGGAAGAAAGTGAACTCTCCTTCCACGCCATGAATGGGCTAACGGTGGGCCGAACGATGAGATTATGGGCCCAAATGGGCTCGGCCCAAGTCATGGTACTGGTTGACAGTGGTTCGATGCATAATTTCGTGGCTTCTCACATTGCGGCCCAACACCAATTGCCGGTAACTCACGTAAGGAAATTCGACGTCAAGATTGCCAATGGAGTTCCTCTTCCATGCACTACCCGACACGACCACGTCAAGCTAATGGTACAAGGATTGGAATTCTCTCTTTCCCTCTTCGCCATTGACGTCGTGGGAGTCGATATTGTGTTGGGTACCCAATGGTTGGCCTCGTTGGGTAACGTACTCAGCAATTGGAAAGCATTGACAATGGACTTTGAATGGCAAGGTCAAAGAAGGAGGTTGAATGGGATAACTCCCCAGACACAAGCTGCTGCGTCCCTTAAAGGACTCATCAAGGAAATATCTCAAGGAGTCCTTTGTGCTGTGTGCGTACCGTCCGTCAATCATGAAGCACTCCTTCAAGTTCCGGCAGCATTTCAAGACGTAATTCGAGAGTTCGGTGACTTATTCGAGGAACCCACGACATTACCACCGCCTAGGGCCATTACCACCGAATTCAGCTTAAGGAAGGGGCGGACGCCGTCAACGTAAGGCCATACAGGTACGCTTATTTCCAAAAGAAAGAGATAGAGGATCAAGTCGACAAAATGCTGCATGCCGGTCTTATACAGTCTAGTACTAGCCCCTTCTCGTCGCCGGTACTGCTCGTAAAAAAGAAAGATGGCACTTGGAGGTTTTGCACCGATTACCGAGCTCTCAACGCTGTCACAGTCAAGGATAGGTTCCCCATTCCGACCGTTGATGACATGTTAGACGAGTTATACGGGCCAACTTACTTCACTAAGCTTGACTTGCGAGCGGGCGACCATTAGGTGAGGATGCACGCCGAAGACATATCAAAAACGGCGTTCCGGACCCACAACGGCCATTACGAATATCTCGTGATGCCCTTTGGGCTTTGCAACGCACCCTCAACCTTTCAGGCTCTAATGAACGATATATTCAGGCCCTACCTCCGCAAGTTCGTCTTGGTATTTTTTGACGATATTCTGATCTATAGTCAGGACCAGGCGACCCACCTCCAACACCTGCGGCAGGTATTCCTTATCTTGAGGCAACATCAATTTTTTGTCAAGTTCTCCAAATGTGCCTTTGGACTCCACGAACTGGAATATTTAGGGCACATTATCACGTCTACTGGCGTAAAGGTTGACCCGGCAAAGATTCAAGCGATGGTCCAATGGCTGCGGCCCACAAATGCGACGGAGCTTCGAGGATTTCTTGGCCTCAGGGGATACTATCGCAAGTTCGTGAGGGGATATGGACTCATCGCAAGGCCACTAACTCAATTGTTGAAAAAGGGATCCTTTACATGGACGGATGAAGCTACGACAGCCTTTGAAGCTCTCAAGGTAGCAATGACTACTACCCCTATCTTAGCCATGCCTGACTTCTCAAAAACGTTCATAGTCGAGACCGATGCGTCCGAACGCGGTCTGGGAGCCATTCTCATGCAGAAGGGACGACCGATCGCATTTATGAGTCGCGCGCTGGGGACCCAGAGGCAAGGTTTGTCCGCCTACGCCAAGGAAATGATGGCCGTAGCGGCCGCATTTCAACTATGGAGATCATACCTGTTGGGGAGAAAATTTATGATCCGAACAGATCAGAGGAGCTTGAGATTTCTATTAGAACAAAGGATTACAACTCCTGAACAACAGAAATGGGTTACAAAACTTTTGGGCTATGATTATGAAATTCTATATAAACCGGGTAAGGAGAACCAGGCAGCGGACGCCTTGTCTCGCTGGCCCAGGAAGACGGAAGAAGCCAGCCCAAATGGAAAAGACACGCCGGAAAATGGATCCTCTAACAGAAAGCTCGAGCCATTTACGTCAAAATTAGAAAAAGGTAATGGGCCAAACAATGAAGCCTCTTTTGATATCCCTTCCGCCGTTCTTTCATTGGAAACTCACAAGGATAACGATGAAGCCTCTTTGGATATCCCTTCCGCCAAAAATTACGTCAAAGACCTCGCGGATCAAGCTAACCCGACGAAAGCTATGGGGGATAAGCACCAAGGAGTCTCCCATCCCTTCACGACCCTCGGTGATTCTTTAAAAAGAGCTGCAGCCGAAGACCCTTACCTGCAAGCCATCAAGAAGAAAGCACAATCACCCTCTCCCGGCCGCTTCACAGTGAAAGGAGACATGGCACTATACGATGAGAGGCTTGTCCTTCCCCCAGACTCGCCTCTCGTCACCGAGCTTCTGCAGGAGTACCACAGCTCACCCATAGGCGGTCACTCCGGAGTTCTACGAACATACAAGCGGCTGGCTGCTCAATTTTTTTGGCCCGACATGCTTGAAAGCGTTAAGAGGTTCGTCGCCGACTGTGACACCTACCAAAGGTCCAAATCACAGTCTCTTGCCCCAGCCGGACTTCTTCAACCATTACCAGCCCCTACTCTGATTTGGGACGAGCTATCCATGGATTTCATCGACGGATTGCCGTCATCTGCCGGTAAAACGGTGATCCTTGTGGTGGTCGACAGGTTGACAAAGGCGGCACACTTCATGGGGTTATCTCACCCCTACACCGCCAAGACGGTCGTCGATGCTTTCATTCAAGGAATCGTCAAGCTGCACGGCATTCCACGCTCTATAGTAAGTGACCGGGACCCTATCTTTGTCAGTAATTTCTGGCGTGAGCTGTTTCGTATGTCAGGCACGACGCTGCCTATGTCATCGTCGTATCATCCTCAAACCGACGGCCAAACGGAGGTGGTCAACCGAAGCCTTGAACAATATTTGCGTTGCTTCACTCACCAACAGCCCCGCCGTTGGATGACTGTTCTGCCATGGGCCGAATTCTGGTACAACTCCACCTTCCACCGTTCAATTGGCATGAGTCCATTCCAAGCTGTCTATGGACGTCCACCTCCTGCAATTCCCTTCTACCAGCGGGACGGTACAGCAGTCCACGCAGTCGATCAAGCCTTACTGGACAGGAATGCGGTGTTGCAAGAGCTAAAAATCAACCTCCAAAATGCACAGTCCAGGATGAAGCAACAGGCGGATAAGGGTAGGAGGGATGAGACTTTCGAAGTCGGTGACATGGTATTCCTTCGCCTACACCCTTATAGGCAACATTCCGTTTACCGCCGAGCCTCTCAAAAGCTCGCAGCTCGCTTCCATGGACCATATCAAGTGACTGAACGCATCGGTCCAGTGGCCTACCGTTTGGGGCTGCCTACAGGCTCGCGTGTGCATCCCGTGTTCCACGTGTCTCTGCTCCGTCGCTGTACCACTCCGGAGACGCCACCCAACCTCACCATTCCGCCCGTTGCTGAAGATGGAGCGCTCGAACTATTACCAGAGGCAATCCTGGACACTCGTTGGATTCGTCGAGGAAACAAAATCATTGAAGAATCTCTGGTCAAATGGCGCGCATTACCAGAGGAGGACGCAACTTGGGAGCTAACCTCGGAGCTGTTTGACCGCTTTGCAGATTCTGACCTTGAGGACAAGGCCATTCTTCCAGGAGGAGGCAATGATGGACTCATGACACGAGCTGGCCGTGGACCGAGGGGGGAGATGGAGGCCCAACCGGGTTTGGGCGTAGTTCATCGTGGCTGATCATGAAGACCATTAGTTGGAGGACCCACTGCTGCTTGCGTAGGAAGTTTATTAGTTAAGATTGGATTTCATTGTTGCTAATTTGATTTGGTTGTTAGTGGAGTCGATGTCCACGTAGCTGTTAGGATCGGATAGGTGTAGGGAGATCATATAGATTCTCCAAATCATAGGAGATCAGGGTATCAGTTTGTGAACCCGATCGTTAGGCTTTCTCCTCTATATATACAGAGGGCTGAAATGAATAAAGGCAGCAGATTATTAGTAGAAAAACAGGAGTCACACTGGCTGGTTCTCGCTAAAAGAAGAACAAGCTCACACCCCTGATTTCCAAGTTTCAACAGTATCCCGCGGGTACTCATTCTAGAAATTCTTCATCCCAAGTCCCATTCTGTAGTAAATAATGCGGGTATTATGGGTACGCGTAACCCTCAAAATACGGGACGGGTATGAGTATTCCCAAATACCCGTTTCCCATTTTCCACCCCTAGATGGAGGGTAACCTTAGCCCACACCATATTTGCAGGGCTATAATACGGCCCAAGTCTAATTCATAGGTTTGGCTCGGTCTTGAGCTGGACTTTCCAGCTTTTTAGTTACTGGATCTACACGCTCAATAGAAACAAAAACAACAATCAATTGCACGTAGGGGTGAACAAACACACCTGCAAACCGACCCACCCGACCCAACCCACCCGTATTTATTGCTAAAACGAAGGTTTTGGGTTGGGTGGGGGTTTTATTTTGTACAACCCGCCTCTTTTGGGTTGGGTTTGAATTTTGGATTACACAACCCGTAGAACCCGACCCAACCCGTGTTCCAACTATTAGTATGAGTTCGTATCTAAAAAATATTTATTTCGTATATAGTCATACTTATGAGAAAATTAAGATATTTCGCCATATTTCTCTCATGATCTCCATAATCTTATGCATTCATCGACTTAAAGTTTATACATAAATTGAATATAGTTATGATTCATGTAATCTTTTTAGCCTATTTCAACAAATATCGTGAAAAAGCTAGACATATGTTGAAGTAAATCACGTTTTATTAAAATTCAAACAACATTAGTGAATTTTGATAACTTTCACCACGGTTTATTCGTTTGAAATTTTAATTATTTATAAAATATTTTTATGATGTAGAATAATTATATATTTTATATTGGGGTTGGGTTTTTACTTTAAAATATCGCCAACCCGACCCAACCCAATTAGAAACAAACCGTAGGGTTTAAATTTTTTTGGATGAGTTTTAGGTTTGATATTTTCTAAATCGTAGTGCATGGATCGGGTGATTAAAATGGCTAAACCCGAACCACCCTACCTATGTTTGCACGTTTGGATTATTTGTAAGGATGATGATGTGTCCCATTAGGAAAAATGAATGAAGTAGTTTGTTGGTTTCCTTCCTGTGAGTTTGTTAGTGGGGGTTGGGTTTGTACTTCGTACTAATGAAGCAAATATGAGACCTAATCATGTTGGTGCAATTCTCAATTAAGGAAACAACATCATTTTTCCCCCTGGGTGGGGAGGGGAGAGGCGGAGGTGGAAAAAAGTTGGTTTGGTGTGGGAATAGAGTGGCTTCTAAGACAAGATATAATCATATATCAATTTGATGGGCAGGCAGGCAAAAAGAGGAAAGCAAGGGCATCAGTTGAGTCGGAATTTAACTTACCATATACGAACAACCTTCTTTCGCTTTCCCCAACTAAACTCGCACTCCAGGCAGGAAGCTCACAATGCCATTCCAAAATAACTTCCCAGATAGCTAGCAGAGACGAGAAATAGTGAGTGAACAATGGGGCGGTTGCTTTTGCTGCTTATGTTCTTCAGCGCAGCAGTTCATGTCAGCTTGTCTGCAACTGATCCTCGTGATGGTAAGTAGTCAAAAATGCTGAATGTGGTGATGGGTTATGACTCAATTTTGATAGATATGCATCTGGGCCAAGAGTAATGCTTATGGTGATCGTTTACCGTATTACCGGGGAAATGCAGCTGCGGCACTGAGGTCGCTGAAAGAGATATGGAGGAACCTTCCCCCGAGCTGGACGCAGTCGGATGATCCCTGTGGGTTCCCTTGGGAAGGAGTCACCTGCAAAAACTCCAGAGTCTCTGCATTGTTAGTCCCCCTTCCTTAATTTGTCTCTCATTTTCTCTATATTCTAGTAGTGCTTGAGAGCTCACTGACTCTGATCCTTAATTTGGATGTGCAGGGGACTTTCTAGCATGGGTCTTAAAGGGAAGTTGAGTGGTGACATTGGAGGGCTAACTGAGCTAAAATCCTTGTAAGTTCCCACCTTTCTCACATGGTTGAATAACTAAATGAGCTTGCTATAATTTTTAACTAAATACCTCTTATGTCTGTCTCCAATTGCAGGGACTTGTCATACAACCGAGAGCTCACAGGGCCCTTAACCCCGCGATTAGGCGATCTGCAGAAATTGAACATCTTGTACACTCCAATTTATTGCTCCTCTTCCTCTGTTTCTCTATATGTGATGAATTGATGACTTCAGTTCTTTAGAGTTCTCATATGCTGTTGTATGTTTCCAGAATCTTGGTGGGATGTCGCTTCAGCGGCGGAATTCCAGATGAGCTGGGGAATCTTTCAGAACTATCCTTCTTGTATGACCCTGCAAAATTAAACCACTTTGTAACTGGAGTTGGAAACCTTCTAATTCCAATGACGTCCATCACATTGGCTGCAGGGCGCTCAACTCGAATAACTTGACAGGAAGAATACCCCCGTCATTGGGAAATCTCTCCCAGCTTTACTGGTTGGATTTGGCTGATAATCAATTGACAGGAAATCTCCCAGTTTCCACACCAGACACCCCAGGCTTGGACCTCCTCCTCAAGGCTAAGCACTTGTGAGTGTCGGAATACTAGTAAATCCGTGTTTACTATTGATATGAAATGCAAGCATGCCATCACAAAAGAGGTTTCATTCAATCCTTTCGCATGTTGGTCTATTTACCCTCTTCTGCAGTCATTTCAACAAGAACCAACTATCAGGTTCCATTCCTCCCAAGCTTTTCAGTCCTGAGATGGTCCTCATACATGTGTAAGATTCCATAGCTTCTTACTCTTCGTGTATCCATCCTGATACGTGATCTTGTTTGCAATTGCTGACACCATGATCTCGCTACAATTCTAGACTGTTCGATGGGAATCAACTCAATGGAAGTATCCCAGACACGTTAGGACTAGTTGCGACCATTGAAGTTCTGTGAGTAAACTCAAAACCACAATGAGATCTTCTATTAGTTTCATGTCCATTTACCAAAACTGGAAATTTGATACACTTCTTATTTTCTACAGTCGACTGGACAGAAACGCTTTGGTGGGAAGGGTACCCTCGAATCTGAACAACCTTCTTAATATCAATGAGCTGTGGGTAGATTTCACCATTGGTTGCATAGATACTCATAGTGTTGAGATTGAAACATAATGTATGATCCTTTCGCTCTTCAGGAACTTGGCGCACAACAGATTGACCGGCCCCATGCCAAACTTAACTGGAATGAATAACCTCAATTACATGTACGTGTTGGATAACTGTAAATCTACATCATTCGATACTGATTTCCATTCTTATCCATAAATTGTCGGTTACCTTACAGAGATCTGAGCAGCAACTTTTTCGAACCTTCTGAAGCTCCTACTTGGTTCTCTACCTTGCCATCTCTTACCGCATTGTAAGTTGAGACCATCGATGCTTTCTAGATAACCTTTGATAGACAAATCATGTTCATACTCACCAAGTGGAAAATCCAGGGGTAATCTAGAAATGACTAAATCTGCTGGACAGGGTTATGGAACATGGATCACTTCAAGGACCTCTGCCACCAAAGATCTTCAGTTTCCCACAAATGCAGCAACTGTATGTCTTCCTTTTAACCTGGTAGATAGAAATCCTGAATTAGATATGATCAATCATCAGTTACTCACTCGGTTCAACAATATCCTGTTTCCCGTCAGGTTATTAAACGACAATGCCTTCAATGGCACATTAAGCATGGGCGAGAGCATAAGTCCACAACTCCAGGTTGTCGACCTGCAGAACAATCAGATTTCCTCTGTAACACTAACTGCTGGATACAACAACACATTAATGTAAGCATCCCAACAATATTATTCTCCTTTTCCCTTTAGTAAGTCTAACCATTGACAGAATAAGGGTTCTTAAACGTGATCTTATGATATGAACAGACTAGTGGGAAACCCGGTCTGCACGGCTCTGTCCAACACTAACTACTGCCAACTCCAGAGGCAACAGTCCTCCAAATCTTACTCCACAAGCCTTGCCAATTGTGGGACCAAACTCTGCACAGCTGACCAGAAGCTCAGCCCACAAAGCTGTGACTGTGCATACCCATACGAAGGGACCTTGTACTTCAGAGGGCCTTCCTTCAGGGATCTAACAAATGTGAATACATTTCATGCACTGGAGATGAGCCTCTGGGTGAAGCTAGGACTTACCCCAGGCTCCGTCTCACTTCAGAACCCAATTTTCAACTCTGATGATTATCTCCAGATCCAGCTAGCCCTTTTCCCCCCTGCTTTCAGTGGAAAGTACTTCAATAGATCGGAGATCCAGAGAATCGGATTTGACTTGAGCAACCAAACCTACAAGCCTCCCCATGAATTTGGACCTTACTATTTCATTGCATCTCCATACCCTTTCCAAGGTATAAGCTTTGTTTCAAATACTGAGACATCTTGCCCTGATATACCATAATAAGGTTGTTAATAAAGTGTTGTTAATGTTGTGGGGTTACAATGCTGTGGACCTCTCAGGGGAACATGGAAGAGCTTCCATCAGCAGAGGCGTTGTAGCCGGGATAGCAAGCGGCTGCTCCGTTCTGATCCTGTGCCTTGTTGCTGTAGCCATTTATGCCATTCGTCAGAAAAAACGTGCGGAGAAGGCAATTGTGTTTAGTAAACCATTTGGTAGGTTTGTAGTACTGGAGATCCCTTGTATGCATGAGCAATGATACAAAATTTGATCTTAAATCTCTTGTGAATAGCGACTTAGAGTTAGACCTTTAACTTTCAGAGCCAACTCTGTCCTGCAGCTTCTTGGGCAGCAGCAAGTCGGAAGGATAATAGTGGTGGAGCAGGGGCACCACAGTTGAAGGGAGCAAGATGGTTCTCTTACGATGAACTCAAGAAGTGCACTAGTAACTTCTCTGGGAGCAATGAGTTAGGTTCTGGAGGCTACGGCAAGGTGGGTGGGTGGGTGGGTGGGTGTGTGTGTGTGTGTGTGTGGGGGGGGGGGGGGGGGGGGGGGGGGGGGGAACATAAGCAACATTGTTAATGTTTCAGAGACTGACTAAACTAAAACTAAATAGCTTAATGACTAATTACCCGAGGCAAACCCGGTTCTCGATCTTGGTTATCCGCAGGTGTACAAAGGAGTGCTTTCTGATGGGCAGATAGTGGCAATCAAACGAGCTCAACAAGGATCATTGCAAGGCGGGCAGGAGTTCAAGACTGAGATTGAGCTTCTCTCAAGGGTACACCACAAGAATCTCTTAGCACTCATTGGCTTCTGCTTTGAACAAGGGGAACAGATGCTGGTGTACGAGTTTATGCCAAATGGTTCTCTCAAGGAGAGTTTGACAGGTAAGGTTGATCAAAATTCAAATCCAAAACCTGCAAATGGGAAGTACCTGCTTCATTAGTCCATAACAAACCCAATTCTTTCATTTTTCGGGGGTTGCTTATCACAGGGAGATCAGGCATTCATCTTGACTGGAGAAGGAGGCTCCGAATAGCCCTTGGCTCAGCTAAAGGACTCGCTTACCTTCACGAGCTGGCAAACCCTGCAATCATCCATAGAGACATCAAGTCCACCAATATCCTTTTGGACCAAAACTTGAGTGCCAAGGTTGCTGATTTTGGCTTGTCCAAGCTCGTCTGTGATAGCACCAAGGGCCACGTTTCAACTCAAGTTAAAGGCACCTTGGTGAGTACAACTCAATCTCGCTACAGATAATTTTAAAAAAAAATCTAGGTTTAGAATTCTCTTTCAGCAACCAAATTTCGGATAACCAATTGATTAGGAGTCAAGCTCACAAAATGGATAATTGATTGCAGGGATACCTGGATCCAGAATACTACATGACGCAGCAACTGACGGAGAAGAGCGACGTGTACAGTTTCGGAGTGGTGATGCTAGAACTGGTGACGGCGAGGCAGCCAATTGAGAAAGGAAAGTACATCGTCCGCCAAGTGCGTGCGAAGATGACGGTGGAACCGGAGGTGGTGGCGGCGGAGGAAGAGGATTACTGCGGTCTCAAGGACATGATCGACCCGGCGATCATTACGGAGCTGGGAACGGCGGGCGCGACTCTCCGGCGGTTTCTGGAATTGGCGATGCAATGCGTGGAAGAGTCGGCAGGGGACCGGCCGACGATGAGCGAAGTGGTAAAGACGATCGAGGCGATCTTGCAGGAGGAAGGAGTGAACGGTAATTCGACCTCCGCTTCCTCGTCGGCGACGGAATTCGGAATTCATTGCCTGAGAGGAGGAGGTGGAGGAAGCGCGAATCTCCGGCAGCATCCGTACTGCGGAGGCAGCGGCGAGGTGTGTACCAACAATACCAAGAAGAACAAAAGCGGCGGAGGGAAAGGGAATTGTAACGAAAAGTGTGACGCGTTTGATTACAGCGGTGGCTACGCGATTTCAGCCAAGGTGGAACCCAAGTAGCCGGGCGAAGCTCGATTTTCGCGGCTGCTTTCTTCACTATACCCTTTTGTTTTTGGTTTTGGCGGAGAAAAAACTGAATGGCTAAACGTCCCCCTAAATTTACTACTATCTTCCTAACTTAAAATTAAAAATTACCTAATTGCCCATGGACAAACAAAACAAGAATTACAAATCTAGCCAATCATAACAAAAATCACACCTCCGCCGCGTCCACCCAATCCGCCGTCGACGTCCTCGGCAATATATGTACGAGTTCATGTGACCGCCACCAGTGATAGAACTGGTCGTTTCAGGTGACCGGCATCGTTCAACCTCCCCAGGCATAATTTAAGGGATTGGCGTCGGAACTGAATCGGAGAGTTGTCGTGTCCTCCGCCAGTATAATGTATATTTGATCTTCTATGTTTCCATCACCGTTCCAAATCTGGAAACCCAAGTCTGGGTACAGGGTGAAAGTCCTTTTTGCTAACTACAGTAACTTCGGATAAAACGGTGGTTTGATTCCCCCAACCCCCACCAAAAACGATATATTCGCCGGCCAATAAGAATCCCCAAATCCAAGTCTAAAGGGTGATCCAAAATAGAGATTGGAGAACGGAGATGGGAAAGATTGAGATTATTGATGATTAATTGCTTACTTGGGCGGAGAGATTATTAAATGAACAGGGTAATTGATAGTGCCGAGAAGTGAGGTTGTCGATGTTCATCGCAGAAATCGAATTGCAAAGCCTTTTAATTGTTCAATGAATTTAGTTTGTTAAAATAAAATATAATCAATTAAAAAATAAAAGGTTAAACGAGTAATTTTAATATTTTAATTTAGGGTAATATAATGAAATTAGGGCGACAAATAGCAATCCCAAAAAAATGGTCTTAGTGTTGGTATTTTTATACGGTGTCGCTCGCGTGGACTTGAAAAGAACTACGACGTACATTACATTAGGGTCACTGAAACTATACGTTCCTCTCATATTTGCTGCAAGAGCCTGCAACTGATCGCAACTTTTTGGGCGGGTTTGTATAAACCATTTTCATCATCATTTTCAAATACCCAAATTCATACCCTTCTCATATTTATGTGCAGCAATTTTGCAAATACACATGCATACTTACGATTTTTGGATACCCATGAGTATTACCTAAAATTGAAGTAGATGTATTTATAACACTAAACGAACATAATAAATAATGAAATTAACAAAGTTACAACATTCTTAATGTGAAAAACATCCATTTCTAAACCACCCAATAATCCATAAGGAAAAATGGAAATATGATAATATGCATCTTAAATCATTCGTCTTCGACTTTGACACATCTAGACAATATGTTATATTACTTCTGAAAGGTTTTGGTGATAGTTAAATAGATGCATTGTCATCAATGCATGCATAATAATATACATGTATATTAGAAAATCAGTGTATTGTAGTTTCGATCGTTTGGTTTATGTGATAGTTATTGTGTTATTTAAATATGTTATATTACTTTTTGGATGAAATGTCACTTTTACCCTTTATTTGTAATATAAAAAAGCAAGACACATAAAAAGGTAGGGACAAAATTGGAAGAAAAAAACACACAACAATCTCACCAAAAACTTGAGATTTAACTATCACTCATTTTGAGTGATAGTTTGTGTCACATCAAGCAAACAATGCATTGTTTGTGCAGAAAATTCAAAATAACGATGCATTGTGAACAATTCATGTATTGTAACTATCCCAACCGAACAATACCAAAATTAAAACACCCCTAAACTACTAAAGGTAATAACACATCAGATTCTGAAGAGTTGTTGGCAATGTACAACAAAACAAAAGCGACGTAATTTGCAAATTAAGGTTTCTCCATTTTTTGTTCTAATTCATTTCCGATTTACATCTCCTAATCATTTGAAAAGTTACTAATAAAGTCAGTTAATACTAATAAACAGATGAAAGAGGATTTTTAATTTATGTGTTACAAATTTTTAATTTATTATAAATGACACACAGCATGTGACATGGCAAATTTAACTCTAGTTAATGTTATGTCATCAACTCTAGTTAGAATTACTGATAAATTAGAAGTTTATGTACTGAATGACTAAAAAAGCGTTTGTGTAATGGCCTGACCAAAAACAAAGTTCGTATACCGGGATGACCAAACTACAAAAGTTGAGGGGTCAAATTGACCTTCTGTCCAAAAAGAAAAGAAAAAAAAAGAAAGAGAAAAGAAAAATGGGCAGGGGATGACAATTCACAAGCCAGAAATCCCGTTTCCAAAAACACGATCGTGGCGCGAGCTGGCGGCACTTTTAACGACCAAAACAATAACACGCTGCAGAATTCCGGTGTCTCCCTCTTCCTCTCTCTCTCTCTCTAGGGTCATTCTGTTCCGGTGCTTGAACATTGCAGCTCAAAGAGCTTTCCAGGTGCCCATCTCCAATTCTTATCTTGCTCAATTCGGATATCGAAGGGCTGGCGGGACGGAATTCTTCCGTGGATCCTTCCTCTTTCTTTTTCTGGTCCGCAGTAGAATCAGAGGGAGGACGAGAGATTGAGACAGAGAGAGGTAGGGCTGGAGAGGGGTGAATTTTAGGGTTTAGAAATAGATTAGAAGCTAGCAAAATGAGGCCCATGGAGACAATTCAGGATCTGATTGAGGAGGCCAAGATTCGAACCGTGTGGTGGGGATTGTGTATCTTCGCCGTTACATACTTTTTATCTCGTGAGTTCCCTTCTTCTGTATAAATTTCGCGGTTCTAGTTTCTACTGTCTTCTTTAGGATTATTTCAGTTGAATATGGCTACCGAATTCTGTTTAGTTTGTTGACATTGGTTCTTGTTGAACTTGGATTCGCATTTAGTGAGCTTCTGAGTTTAATTTTGATGAATGCCGATTCCGTAACGCTATTTGTTGTTGTGGTGTTGTTGACTTTGTTATGTTTGGTTGCTGGCGGTTGATAGAGTAAAATGTAGTGCTCAGTAAGTCTTTGTCATGTTGCCGAAATTCGTAGTCACCCATGTCATGATTTTCATTTTATGAGGTTGATGCTCTAACAATTATGATTGCTGAATTTCAGATACAAGTTCGTCGATGTGGATTAACCTCCCGATGTCAATTCTTTTAGTTTCTGCATTAAGGGTATTGTCTAACGAAGTAGAGTTCTACTGGAAACCATGCAACAAATTCCGCCCACAATCATATTTGTCCCATTTGGAGAAGAAGCAATTATCTGTAAATGACTCTCGGCTTTCTTCTGCACCACCGCCTCCTAGATGGAGGAGGAAAATTGATTCGCTCATCGTGGAGGCTTCAGTCAATGATTTTATTGATAAGATAATGAAGGATTTTGTGGTGGATCTCTGGTACTCTGAAATTACACCTGACAAGGAAGCCCCTGAGTTGATCCGTGCAGTAATTATGGATGCTCTTGGCGAGATATCAGGGAGGGTTAAAGAAATTAACCTCGTTGATCTTTTAACAAGGTATTTTATGAGTCTTGTTGTTCATTTAATTCTTCATAATATAATCCCTTATGTTGTTACTTGAAATTCTGAAATAGAAGCATTAAATGTGGAAGCCTTTCAGACGGAATTTGATGAGGGCTTTCTACTGCAGGGATATACTTGACTTAATAGGAGATCACTTGGACCTTTTTAGACGAAATCAAGCTGCTATTGGTGTTGATGTAATGAGAACTCTCTCTACCGAGGAGCGAGATGAGAGGTTGAAATACCATCTAATGGAATCTAAGGAGCTTCATCCAGCTTTGGTATCTTCAGAGAGTGAGTACAAGGTGTGAGTGGAGTGTTCTGATGATTCCCTTTTTCCTCTTTCTTATATCTTGATTGTGCTTCGTAAGCCTCAATTGTTGCTTTTCTTTATCTTCCAAAGGTTATTCAGCGGATAATGACTGGGGTTTTAGCTGTAGTGCTAAGACCCCGAGAAGCTCAATCCCCCTTGGTAAGGACTATTGCCCGAGAGATTGTCACTTGCTTGGTAATGCAACCTGTTCTGAATCTTGCAAGCCCTGTGTAAGTAAACTTTTATCATATTCATTACTTTTTCTATTTTTAAAGGGATGGAATATTTTTCATAAAATAATTGGTTTCCTGTTTATATAATTTACATTTTGTTTTCGGGTAGATAATTTATATAATTTTCTCTTTTATTTCCCGAAACAATAATGTGAGTAAAAAATGTTTGATGAGAAGATTGTTTTTCATTATGTCCAGACCAGATAGCATGTCATTATTGTCATGGTAGCCACTATCTGAAAGATTATCTTTAGGATGAATTATTATTACTTAATAATCATTCGACGGCCCATTGTTTCATCTACGCATCCTTCATTTGTGTCCGATCATTTACCCCAGTAATGCTCTAAGTTACTGGTCAAGTGGCTGTTGATATCTATTGGAGAGGGAGTACTTGATGCATTTGCTTAACCAGAAGAGGAGAATAATGTTATTTGAGGTTTTAGGTTAAAATTCTGTCTCTCTATACAAACGAGTTATTTTAGTCAAATCCTACATACAAATTTCGTGGTATTTTAAGGGATTTTTCCAGAAATAGCACTTTTAAAAAAAAATTCCAAAAATAGCACCTAAGTCCGAAAAATTCCAAAAATAGCACCCTTTCCCAAAAACCGCTCCCTACCAGTGCGGTTTAGGCGAAAATCGCCACCCAGGGGCGCGTTTTTCGATGAAAACCGCACCCCTAGGGGGCGGTTTTGCAGATCGCACCCCCACCATGCGATCTGCTTTTTTTTTTTTTTTGGAAAAATTCTAACCTATGTAGAAACTTCAAACAGACGTATCTTTGTGTTTGGGTATCCGATCGTCGCGATTTTTTTTGTTATTCCGCATAACTTTTTGAGATCTTGCAAGCCGAAGACCGCCGAATGTGGTTTGGTCCCGCCTTCGTCCCAAAAAATGTCGTTTGCTACCCCGCACGAGCTTATTTCCGATTTTGTCAAACTTTGGACAACCATAACTTTGTACTCCAAAATCCAAACAACATGAATTTTTTTTTATTTCGCATAACTTTTTAAGGACTACAATTTTTATCATAGACATAATTTCAAAATGTACGTGGATTGCTGAGAAGGGAAGGTAAGTTATTCCCAAAATCCTGTATATCCAAAATAATTCATGTTTTGAAAATTCATTCTAGTAAAAATTGTAGTCCTTAAAAAGTTATGCGAAATAAACAAAAATTCATGTCGTTTGAATTTTGGAGCACAAAGTTATGGTTGTCCAAAGTTTGACGAAATCGGAAATAAGCTCATTCAGGGTAGCAAACGACATTTTTTGGGACGAAGGCGGGACCAAACCACATTCGGCGGTCTTCGGCTTGCAAGATCTCAAAAAGTTATGCGGAATCAAAAAAAAATTCGCGACGATCGGATACCCGAACACAAAGATACGCCCGTTTGAAGTTTCCACCTAGGTTAGGATTTTTCAAAAAAAAAAAAAAAAAACAGATCGCATGGTGGGGGTGCGATCTGCAACCAAGCCGCATGGTGGGGGTGCGATCTTAGGTGCTATTTTTGGAATTTTTTTTTAAACAGTGCTATTTCTGAAAAAATCCCGTATTTTAAACTAGGGATATGGGTCAAAATCCCTCAGATCTAAATTCCCTATCCAAATGACCCCCTAGATGGTTTAATCATTCCTGCCAGAATGTTGTTCTGTTTGCCATCTCAGATCACTTTTCTATATCTCCCTGGCTGTTGCCCTGATGTCTTGTTAAATATGCTTTGTTCCAGATGTGACATGTAAATAGTTGCCTATTCAAAGAGTCTAACCCAAAAAAAATTTCTTTCTGAAAACAGGTATATCAATGAGGTGATTGAATACATATTGCTTGTCGTAATAGATAATAGCCCAAAGGACACAGGAAGTGATCAGGCCACTGGAGTTGCAAATAGTGGCGCATCGGTCTTGCGGAAAAGTTCATCATTCGATCCATCCAGTGGTGTTACTCCAACTAAGTCTGGAACCCATGAAGACACCTCAGTGGGTGATGGTGTAGATCACCCAGACTCTCCACCCCATGCTGCTTGGGGGAAAATGCTAGAGGCTGCTACACAGAGAAGAACCGAAGTTCTCACACCTGAAAATCTTGAGAATATGTGGACTAAAGGTAGCAATTATAAGAAAAAAGAGAATAAGATTGCAAAAGCTGGTGGACTGCGGGCTAGGTCAAAGGTGTCTTCAATGAGCAATGTTGATTTCACTTTCAGTACGGAGAAAGAATCACCAACTACAAGCACTGTGATTCAGAAAATAACAGACGGAAAAGTTGGTGGGCACCTAATGCCTCAACTAAGTCTTGATAATTCATTAATCAATGAAAAGAAAAATGAGAAACATTTTATAGCCGGTCAGAGTACGGATTATACTTTGGCTGGAGTTGATACTATTGATGAATCTGAGATTACTAGCAAGCCTTCTATGAATGAAAACGGGGCTAAGCTTAAGCGGTCAAGTAGCACCTCTGCTCTGGAACACCAGCCTGAAAAGAAAAGGGCAATAGAAGGGGAACATGGAGATTCCATTATTTCAGAATACTACGCTGCAGATTTTGTTGGGCATGCTTCGGATCCTGATGTTAAGATCATTCCTGATAAAGTATTGCGCAGTGATGAGGCTACTCTTCCCAAGCTGAGGTCCCGGGTAACTGTTCTTTCATATGAAACTATGAGGGGGAAAGACTGAAACATGAATCCTGAACCCTGGAAGCTAACCACCATACTGTTGCTTATAGCTACCTTGAATTAAATTCCTTACCTTTGTTCATCCTGTTTGTGCAGGTCATGGGAGCATACTTTGAGAAGCTTGGATCAAAGTCCTTTGCAGTTTATTCAATTGCAGTGACAGATGCAGATCGCAGAACTTGGTTTGTGAAAAGAAGGTATCTTTCTTTTCAAATTCTTTTTTCTTGAAACAGTTCTAATCAGTTCTTGATGCTGGGTTCAGTTTACTATTTGCTTTTCTCTGTTCCCAGATTTTATCACTTTGTCATAAAATTATGAAAACTCCCTAGCATGCTGAATCTTAGATACTTTTGCACTGTGTTTCTCTTTTATTTTCTATAATTCATGAATATCTTACCAAATTTTTTCTTGTGCAGATATAGTAATTTTGAGAGGTTGCACAGACATCTTAAGGACATTCCTAATTACACCTTGCATATGCCTCCCAAAAGGATCTTCTCATCAAGCACAGAGGACTCTTTTGTTCATCAACGCTGTATTCAGCTTGATAAATATCTCCAGGTACTGTTCTCTCTATCCTTTGACATTCTTAGGTGTAGTGTTCACCCCTATCGGTACTTGATGATCGTCTGCATCTTGTAGGATTTATTGTCCATTGCTAATGTGGCTGAGCAGCATGAAGTTTGGGATTTTTTAAGTGCTTCCTCTAAGGTGTGACAGCTGTTTACAAAAGTTTCTATTTCATTTTGGTTGTTTTCTGCTGCTTTTCCTGGTTCCTTGAAAGACTGAGTCAGGATTCTCATCTCCTTTTCACATGTTCTGAAGAATTACTCATTTGGGAAATCTTCTTCAGTGATGAAAAACCTGGCAGGTATGTGATGCATCCTGGGTTTTGGTTCTTGCTGAGCTTTCCAATAAAATCTTCTGCAGCTGCTGTTCCACTTTTCTTTTTCTTAATGTTTCCCTTTATTTTTGGTGGTTCATATTCTGTTGTTTATCTGATAACCTTCGCTTATTTCATTGCTTTGCACGTCTCCAGCCATAAATATAAATATTACATCCTTTGGTAATTTCAATATCTAAGATCATCTACTATCTTTTTTTATGAGGGCAACATAGTTTATTTTTATTATAAGGTGCCTACTTAAGAGATTCAAACACGAGACCTCCAGGTTGAAGATCAGCGGTACAACCGCTAGACCAAGTCTTTGTTTTCAAATTCATCTGCTATGTTTACTCGTGCTTGAGTTTTATTGTCAATGTTGGTAGACTTATAAATGTTTACAATAGTGTTTATGGGTCTATTCAATTATTTGAGTCATTACTCATCTGGTTTTGCTTTTGAAAATTAACAGTCAATGTGGATGATGCTGTGGACGATATTGTGCGGCAATTTAAAGGGGTTTCAGACGGCTGGATGCGTAAAGTTGTCGGTTCAACTTCCCAGATGGATGATTCCAGTTCTCCAAGCTATAGCAGGAATTTGAATTGGAATTTAGATGAGACTATTAAGCCTGTGCATGGGCAAGATTCCATGGGTACTGAAAACAGCTCTTCTGACAATGATGACAGTCATCATCAAGAGGACCAAGACCAAGAAGATGTGGGACCCGGTGCTCAAGCTAGTGGCTGGCATTCAGATAACGAAGTTGACTCGAGGACTTTGCCAACGCGAGTGATGAAACGGGATGATGAGATGTCAAAGAGCTTAAATTTAAAGCGAACAGATGACTCCGTCATTAAATATGATGGTAGTAAACAAGGCCTACCTTCTCCTGTGACTTCAGCCTTAGGTTCTACTCGCTTAGAGGATCCAGTTGGTATGCCACCTGAGGTACTGTGTCTTGCATCTGACTTGGCTACCGATTTTGGTGGTTGCAATTAAGATAGATAAATTTTTGCCATATATTGCTGCCTTTACTTAAGATTTGGTTTTTGCTAGTTGGCCTTTTCTCTTCAGTTAGGAATATTTTTAGCTGGCTGTTGGGAGTTGCTCAATTATCATGATTATGTGGTCATCTGCTATGGAAATCTTCTTGATTATAGCTTGATTGTTTTTGTTCTCCCAGTGGACTCCACCTAACGTCAGCGTGCCCCTGTTGAATCTAGTTGACAAGGTGTTTCAGCTTAAAAGAAGAGGTTGGCTGAGGTTAGCTAATCTATTGCACTCTTAACAAAAGAATTGGTCCACCTATTGAGAAGTTTGAGTACCATGTACCTTTGTTGTTTGCCCCTGCGTATTACATTTTATTTAATTCCCTTTTGGAGTCTCTTAAACAGGAGCATGTCCAGTCAATAGGCATGTTGAAACTTGAAACTGCTCCAACTTTACTGAAGACAGATAGATGTAATTGTTTCCCTCTTTCAACTTGGTTGAATTTTATGGGCGCAGGAGACAAGTGTTTTGGATGTCCAAGCAGATCGTGCAATTGATGATGGAAGATGCCATCGATGACTGGCTCCTGAGTCAGATCTATTGGCTTCGGAGAGAGGAGACTATAGCCGTAGGGATTCGATTGGTGCAAGATGTAAGTCATTTGTCTCTGCAATTTGTAGGAATCTCTGGTTCAATTCTAGAGCTTGCCGTGGGCGTTCTCCCTGCTCTTTTGATGATGGTTTAATTTTTCCAGATTCTTTGGCCAAATGGAACTTTCTTCACAAAAATTGGTGTCGCTCAAACCAAAGCTGCTGATGAAGCTCAACAAAATCGGAATTCTTTTCAGTTGGGCCAGTTTGGTGGCATTAGCAAGGCCTCTAAGCAAATTTCCTTTGAGGAACAACTTGAAGCTTCTCGCAGAGCAAATTATATCAGGAAAACACTCTTTGGTGAGACTTGACAACAGTTTTTCCATGTTTCTGAATTGTGATAATTAGTTTCTGATGGCAGCTTCTTCCTGTTTCTTGTTCAGTCCATAATATGGTTATCTTCAACCTGTTCTTCCCGTTTCAATCCATTATAATATTAAACTGGAAATTATCTTCTTTTTCGTCAGATGGAGTCCCAACAGCCTTAGTCAGCTTGATTGGTGCGAAGCAATACAAGCGTTGTGCACGGGATATCTTCTATTTCACTCAGGTTATTTTTTATTCTATACCTGTTATATTTCACGTTGTTCTTGAATTCTCAGTACAATAATAGTTCCACGCTATGTGTTTCTATACCAACTAAGAATCCCCCCTTTGTTGCATAAAATGCAGTCTACTATTTGTATAAAGCAGCTTGCATATGCAATTCTCGAGCTCTTGTTGGTGACGGTCTTCCCTGAGCTCCAGGATCTTCTGCGGGAAATTCACGAGAAGATGCCTGTCCCTACCTCTGCTTAGAGGAGAGAACCATTAGTTCTTCGGTAGGGGTAAATTTGACATGATGGGTGGGCAACGGTTATCAACAATTGCTTGCCAGTCCAGCCACTGGGGAGACTACGGTGAAACAGAGAAGGGTTGGGGTTTGGAGAGGGTATAATGTTATTGCCACGAAATGGTTTTGCAGGGTAGTAAGGTGGTAGAAAGTTGGGTGGTTCATTCTTGATGTACAGAAATGTACATTTTTCTATAGCTATATATATTCTGTATAGAAGACAGAGAAGAGCTGGAGAGCCTGAGACTGGTTTTGTGTGAATACCATCCTTGCTTTTTCTGGCCTTTTTCTGATGCCTCCATCACAACAAACGCATTGCATAAAACCTAAAGCAAAATCCATATACTCCGTGGATACAATCTAACATAACATAACCTGGAAACAAGGAACGAAATGATGGTTTCAGAAAATCATAAACACGCAATGAAGTAGCATTACTACATTGTAACACCCACTAAACCGAGGAGTCGTCAAGCCCTAAAAATATGAACATTGACAACCTTCTTCTCATGGATCACCTCCAGCAAACAAACATCTCCCTCGACTAAGTCATTAACACAGCGAAACTTGCCCCATTCTCTGAAAAAGAAGACATTCTTATCGTTTCTGTTGCCATAAACCTGCAATTCCCACCCGGATGCCCTCTTCTCTTCATAGGCACGAAGGGTTACCTCTTCCCGGTCTCTAGGGAAGTGGATCTTTGCAAACTTATTTGGAAGGTACTGCACATTTGAAAAAGAAATGGAACTGAATTACCCAAAACTGAAAGCTTTTCATTGATTAACTTGTCACTGCAGCTTCTCATTCGTTCAAACAAACAACCTCTCAAATATTTACTTCTCCTAAGCTAAGCCAAGCCAACACACATAAATAGACCATTGAAGCAGCAAAGTTGCCAACGCTTACTACTACTGTAAGTCTGTAACTGTCAAACTTATTATCAGCAGCTTCTATCTTTGAAGAGACTTACCATGAACCCTGGATAGATATGGAATTTCATCATGACCACCAATGCAGAGGGGTTCCTTGGCTTGCTGCAAATGGCTCTCTCCACCGCTCTCTTGCTCCCTGGAGACAAGTCCTTGATACTGTTCTTGAATTTGGTTGACGTGGCGATCTTTGATGCTTCCAGCCGCCTCCACAGAACCCTGTCCCTCCCTGAAAACCTCACAGCAAACGCGTCTCAATTCTCAGGTGGTTTACTCTAAAAAAAAAGCTTTATCGTAGTTTCAACAATATATATTTCTTTTTTAACCTGTGGCTGCATTTTGACGTTTCCAGGGCCGTTGCCGGGACCCTGAAGCACCATTTCCTGCTGCAACTCTTTTGCGTTGACCTATTTCCCAATCAAAGGGCGAAGGCAAAACAATTTCAGGTTAATATATTAAGGAACCCAGAGAAATAGGAGTAAAATAATTGCTACTCAGAATTCCAACACTCCTTCTAATCGGAAAAAAGCTTGATAATTTTACCTGTACGACCGTTGCCGGCATCTGGTTTGGTCACCCTCCGACGAGACCCAGAGGCAGACCCACCGTGGCGATTTCCATCCTCCGCTTGTTTCCCTTGGTCATTGGTGCCGAGAACGAACCCCTCTTCACTGCCAGAATTGGAATCGCTGATTTCTTCTTCTTCCTCCTCTTCACTGGGCTGGTCGGCGTTAAACTCAGAATCGTCGTCCATGTCGCTGTCTTCTTGATCAGAAGAAGCCTGAGGGTACGCGCTCGGAAAGACAACCTCGCAGGCTGTGGTGTCGCAAATGACTACGTTGAAGCTTGAGCGGCCATCGTACTTGAACATGAGCAAGTATTGTGCCAGGATGGAGTGGTAATCGAGGAAATCTCCGAACCCCGAGTCCAGCCACACTCTGTTGGGGTTCCTCCTTTCTCTCGTCAACCCAACAGTCCAAACCCTGCCGTTTGGTAATTTCAGCTTCGCCTGATCAGGAAGCTTGCCCCTGAAAGTGAGCCCAAACTTCTCCGGAAGCATCTGTTACGTCCATGGAAAACAGAAACAAACAGAAAAACAGAGCACAAGGTCAGGTGGGGAGGATTTCCTGAAAAAAAAAAAAAAAAGATTTAAGCAAAACAGAGCACAATGCTTACCATTTTCTTGTTTTGGACTGTTTCCGGTGATATCGCCTTGAAGAAGTGCTCGAACGGCTGGTGGATCTCAGCTCCGGCGAAGTTGCTGCGGTTGCCGGCCATTCTTCTTTTGCTGTTGTTGTTGTTATGTGGAACTTGGAATAGAAGAAGATGGTGTTCAGTAAGAGGGATAACAGGGGATTGGGAAGAAAAGATGGCCTTCTGACATTGCCTGTAGTCGCTCTGTTTTCTTCTTTTCTTTTTCTGGTAGCTTTTCCTTTTGGCATTGTTTTGCAGGTTCTGTACACCAGTCCTTGTGTAGAACTAGGATATCAAATCTCGACTGCAGGCAGAGAATCACAAGGGTCTAACTTACTTGAATTGCTTTCTGTCCCCACTTAACATTTTTGACAGCTAATTCTCGAGTCTTCTGGCAATAGGGATACGGGCTGAGAATGACAGAGTCAGGTTTTGACTGCAGAGTGCAGAAGGATTGCGTTCAGAAGGAAGGAATCTTGTTTTATGCTGAGATTCCGATTTATTCCCTAAAGATTAGTTGACCCAATTGTCATCCTATCAAAATGAAGCAAACTTAACATGGCAGAGGGGCAGACGATGTTATTGGAGGTGATGATGGCAAAGAGTCATTTTGAGCAATATTTGCTATTGGAAATGGATTGTCAAACCCTGATAAAGAAGCACAGTCAACAGTCAAGACTCAAGAGGAGAACTCCGTACTGGAGAACAGATTGCTTTGTGAGGAGATCACGGCCTTAATAATCTGGGCAAATGAAATGAGAATGGAGGGAATACGCTGGCGCTTCTGGGAACGAAAGGGAAATGAAGTAGTGCACCTGATGGCCCTAGTTTTGTGTAGACGGGAAGAATCGCAGTTCTGGTTTGACAGGTCACCAATTTTTTTTTTTTTTTTTTTGGTAGGAAGTCACCAATTTTTTTTAATACTGCATTGAATGACAAATTGCTTTGAACTGTTATATTAATGAAACTAGCTTTTATCCGACCCCGTTGGTTGGACGAATTTTATAATTAGTTCATAATAATCATTTCATTAAAATTTTCAAATAATTTGAAACATTCGCAATATTTTATTAAAGAATCAATAGTAATCTTGCCACTACTTATAATTGTGACGTTGCTAATTTTTGAATGAGATGTAGCAACGAAGATATAGCAAACCTGTTGATCATAGTGCACTTTCACTAAGAAACCTATAGCAATTGACTTAATAAAAACCGGAGAACTCCACAAAGTTATTTAAGAACGGTTTGATTATTCCCCTCGTTTCACTTTACTGTGCTCCTATTTGGTTCAACACTCTAATGGTGAGAGACTTCACTGCTTCTTTCATCTATTTCGCTACATCAGGAGAAGCAATTAAGCAAAGTTAAGGGCAGTGACAAACAAAACAGGAGAAATTATTCTAATTCAGCTGTCCTAACACTTAAACTATATCCCATCAGAATATGTTGTTAAGGTAACTCTTATAGAGATTCTAGAGACACAATATGGCAGCTAAAATCTCAAAGACAACATATTAGTAGCCTGAATTGCAGTAGGTAAACCTTATTATGTTGTGGTCTGAGTAAAACATAAATTATTTCTGCCTTTATTCACAGAATTGGCACATACCAAAAAGAAAGAATTGGAGCATTCTGCTATGTGAAGTCATGGCTGCTAATTGAAATACCAAAAAGTATGATGAACTATATTTCCAGCCCATTCAACTCCTACTCAGTTTCTCATAATTATATAATGATACGAAATCTAAATCGACTATGTAAACAGTACAAAGAGTATTGGTTAATTAACACGGTTGGGGAACTCTCATAAACTAAAGTCCATATGTTAAAACCTTTCACTCAACCCTTCAAAATTTCATGTCACAATTCACTACATGATCAGATCTTCATAGGTATAACAAAAACAAAGAATAAAAGTGAGCTCAGCAAGTATGTGTGAAAACAAATTCAGTTTAGAAACCACTCACCAAAACACAAAAAGCACAAGCACACGTCTCAATTCCATATCAAATCTTCCAAGTTACAGTGTAGACCAGTAAATATTTTGCAACAATGCAAGAACAGCACAACAAACAGAAATTAGTTATATCTTAAAGATGAAAACATGCATGTCAGGTACAAAAGGTTTCCCGCTTATAGTTGTCTTCCTTCATGGAGTCGAAAAGAGAACCGACTCCATGTAATCAAATCCGATATAGCTCTCTCAACTTCATCTGTTTGTCTTACAATTAAAATCATTACAAAAATAATTGGCAATCATGGATTAGGGTAAGAAGCAGACCGGGCCTTTTGAGGATACAGAAAGAAAGAAAAGTCATAACACATCACTCCTTCCTCTCAAATCAAATAATGACATGCTGGAAACTGCAATAGTTTGAACTCAAGAATGCCAATGCTTCTTCCTGTGTAAGCTTTGCAGGTTCATACCGCTGGCTCTCGACACAATTAATTATAGTTAGGGAAGTTGTGGTATAGAGTGACAGAGAGATCGGTAGATACCGGATTAAGCAGCAGTATTCGATCACAGCGCGCGGCAGATCAGTAATCTATTTGCACAGGGTAAGGCCATTAATATGGCTACTGGAATTCAAGATATAATTTCCTCTTCAGGTGGGATCTGTCAGCACTGCACAAAAATAGGAAAACTTCATATATATTATCATCTGTGTTGAAGTTCTGGATAAAAAATTTCATTGGACAACAGAGGAGAACATTGCCTAGCACGCAGGAAGAAGAAAAGATAAGATCAGGTGCAAACATGGTCATTTAAGTTTAATTCTACTTCTCATATTCTATTAGCTACTTAGCATTCTCATAAGAAACTACTACTAATACTCCACT